CAGGGTTACCCGCAAGTGGTGGTGGAGGTGGATATCCTCCCTGCTGTCGGTCACATCTGGCTCTGATCTGTGACAGTCGTCTGTGATCGCCCGATCTACCAGCTCCACTCGAAGCAGGCTGCCCCGCAGCAGGTTCGGCAGCATGTCTGCCTACTGCAATGTCGTGGCTGCTGGCGCCAGCTGTGGGGCCAGCCCTGGAGCCGGGTCTTGGTGCTCGTGGCCGCGCAAGTGGTGGCGCGGCCTGTGCCTCGGGCGGTGGTGCTGCCGGTTTGACGGGAGCCCGTGGTACCTGTTCGCGGTTGTCGGGCAGCTTCCAAGGTTTGGCAAACCTGCATCTACCAGGTGCCCGTAGGTGGCCAGGCTGATTCTGGTCGTTCTTGTTACAACTAGAACATTTCCAATGGTAATCCTCCTTGTCGCGCCACCTGCAACGTTTAGGGTCTCTGTCATGTGAGGGGGAGCGCATGTTCACATTATCTGCACATGCAAGACATCCTGATCCTCCCGAGGGCGGCCCTGTGATCGACCCGTCGGGTTGTCGAGGGATAGCTGGGCCATCCAAGTCAAATCCCCGCGCGTCGGCAGCGAGAGGGGGGGTCGGGGGAGGGGCGTCCATTGAAGGGATCGCGGTTTACTAGGGTCAGACCGTGCGCGATCTGAACTGCCTCAACAATACGGGAACGCATATTCAAAGTATATTGTGCACCCATAAATAATTCTTTATTGCGTACCGAGACATGTTGATGATGGCCAGCACACCGCTCCCGTTCAAAAGGTGCAAATAACAGACGGTGGTTTGCCATTATCTCGGCAGACTCCGCATCAATGCACCGCGGGAGTCGCGTAGACCAGTCGTGCATTGCTCCATATGTACTTTGCAAGTGCCCTTGCATTTGGCCAGTATTGTCCATGGCGGTATTTGGTCCACCCAAATACCCGCTGGTTGATTTCGTAAGTAAAACCGTCGAAGGTCATTTTGACGCATGGCAACTTTCCCACAAAACTTGATGCGCGGAAGGTCTTCTTTGCGGTGTTCGCGCAACGCGTCAAAGATGACGTGGGACTTGACATGGGAAGGCAGCCCAGTCATTCTGCAAATCGGTTGTAATTTAACAACATTGACGAAACACACGCCTAAATAACGCATCGCTGCATCCTGGACGCCCTTGCTTCCAAAGTCAACATGTGAGCGTTTGTCCGGGTCTCCTCCGGAAGTCGAGCCTCGTCTGAAAGCCAATTCAGATATCCCCCAACTTCCTTCACGCAGTTCCAACATATCGACCTTTGTGTCGTCCGTAACACAGCGTCGGGATCATGGAGAACACGTCGGCATGTGAATCCGCAGGTAGCCCCGCAGGTATCGGGGCGAGGGTTTCGGAGCCAGGGGGGGCGTCGGACTCAAGGGGAACGGAGTGTGTAGTGAGCGCCACATCCTAGACCTTTTAGGTCGTCACCGCAGTCGCCATTGCCTTCTTCGGCTGCTCTGGTTATATGGCGTGGCTTGATGCCCGGTTCTTCGCCGGCCTTCTGCTGTTCCTTTTTGTTTAATCCGTAGTGCTGTTTGTTGCTCTGTGTGGTGCGAACTGAATGTCGGAAGATCAGGAATAGAGGGGGGCGCGCGGCCGCGCTCAGTCGAAGGCGGGGGGGGTGGGAGGCGATCGCCATCGACGAACGCAGCCCGCCTTGGGCGTGGTTGCTAATCCTCGCCCGATAAGAACCGGTGCCGGCGGTTCCCAGTGCAGTCCAGTACGGATATTTGTCGCGCCATTCGGTAGCGGCGCATTGTACGCGCACCCGATAGGTTGATCCTGGATCTGAATATCTTGTATAACAGTATCGTCGTCCAGATTCAGTGGTACCCTTCTCATGACCTGGCACCATTCAGGGCCATCTTTGGCGACTGAACGTAAGTTCGATCTCCTTTGTCCACGCTTGTGTGGATGCTAAGGCGTGCAGCACTTGTATGGTTTCCCTTGGATGTATGCAAATCTATTTGGTCCATCAGCCTTCCAGTCAAGATAGCAAGTGTCTTGTTGCGCCCGTCTGCGCTCTAAGCGCCTTGGCCATGCCAATCCAGTTCATGCTCGACAAGTTGCGCGGGTTGCCCTGCAGTTGGCATGTGCATCTCCACGAGTTAGTCGGGATGCGCGTATAGGTAGTTGCCACCTGCAGATAAGATCAGCTACGCAGTATACTTGAACGGTCAAGCATCGCATCGCATACGCGTAGTGGCAGCATCGCAAACGCATGACCAGCAAGCCTGAATCTTCACTAGCATCTCGCATGCGGCCCTGCTTCCAAAACTAACCTGGACGCCCCACAAATGCTATAGATATACGTAAAGCCCGAGCTTTGATCACCAAATTTTGGATACGTTGGCAATGTGGCCCCGCTTGCTTTCCAGGCAACCGAACGTGCCAGTCAGCGGGCGTTGCCACCCACAGTAATTGATAATCCCCCGAGAGTGATCCACCCAAATTCTGCGGACCTGTAGAGGCCATAACCTCTGCATGTGTGATGCGGTCACACATGTGCCCGCGAGCTCGGAGCTCAGCGCAAGCTGAACGCACGAGAATGATAATGATGCAGCGGCCACGCAGTCGAGTCCACTGCTGTCTCTGGCGGACTCGCATCCGGGCTCACCAGTGCCCCTAGCGCGCGCAGCTGGCGCCTTGGACAAGTATGCAGGTTTCCCCGCGCCTGACGACAGAACCTCAGTGTTCGGCGTGTCGAAGCAAGCGCGAGTGGCCGTGGCGCGCGCCTGCCCCCGCCACTCATTTTCAACCGATGGGGGCGTTCAAAGGCCCGTGCCACGCTGCGCTGCTGAACCGCTGCTCTGAGTGAAAATATCAAACTTCTTAGCGTCACCATCTGCTCCTGCAGGCGTCCCTGCATTCACTCCAGCAGGTGCCCCTGCCATCGAGTCGGGCGGCATCCACTTGCTGCCCTCCTCGCATATGGCCTGATACACCTTCGCCTGCAAATTGCGCAAGGCGAAGTCCTGATCGGCCCGTGCAGGGACATTCCCATAGGACGTGTTCCTGCGATGCCAAGTCTTCAGGGTGTTGTTCACCAAAGACTGGATCGTGAATTCAAGCGTCTCTTCATTAATGGAGAAGCAAATTCCCTTGGTATCCTGAGACATCATACATGCACGGGAATCGTTTGTAGCGGGTGTCCCCGCGCTGTTCGATGCAAGTTGCCCTGCAGTTGGCTCTGTGTCAGCTGCCTCCTCGACTAGTAGCGGGACGTCTTCGCAATGAGGATTGGCCTCTATAGTTAATGCCATTGGGCCTTCACCCTCCGTTGCGATCCCGTACTCGTTGACCTTGATCGCCAGGTGCCCTGACCCTGGCGCCATTCCCAAGGAGGAAATCAGAGCCTGGTGACGTCCGGCGGGCCCTCGGCGGAGGGCCAGGTGACGTCCGGCGGGCCCTCGGCGGCCGTCGGCCGAGGCGGCGCCGCGCCGCCAGCCGCCCCCGCGGCGGGCTCACCCTCAGCGGCCGCGGCCAGAGGCACCAGCTGGTCGCCGTCCGAATCCATCAGCGCGCGGTGCTCGACGTGGCTGCCGTCCCGGAGCACCGCGGCCTCGAAGGCTCCTCCTGATGGCGTCGGGCGACGCCGAAGGCCTCGCCTTCCGCGAGCTTGATCTGCTCCACCAGCTCGGCCGCCTCCAGCTTAGAACGAAACCGATAAAACTTGCCACGCATCCTGCTCAACAGCTCGCTCGTGGGGCCCAGCAGCACAGCATGCACCGCACCCGAAGTGCCGCGTCGGCACCGAGCAGTCTCAAGATACCTATCGCCGTCTGGCGTCGTGTTGATCCACGCTCCAGGCCGCGCTCGCGCCAGCGCGACGCGCTCGTGCCAGTACGTGTCGTCCTCGTACCACAGAGCGAATCGCTGGCTCGGGCGGAGCTCACGCAGAAAGTCCGCCTCCTCCACGACGAGGCCGCTCGACGAGAAGAGCTGGAACGTCCTGCTTGGCTTGACAGCATTGCGCTGGCGATCACAATGGCCGAACGCGCGACCCGTCACGTCGCGAACGAAGCCGCCTACGAACACCCAGGCCACCGGCCAGATATTCCAGGCCGCCTCGAGCACCGCCTGCGCCAGCGCGATCTGCTTCCTCCAAGCGGACGGCGACCGAGCGGATCTCGGCCATCTCCTTGGGCCCGTCACACATGTCGAGAGCCGCAGAGCCTCCTGGCGGGCCCGGGTCTGGCGGCCCCGCCGCCAGCTCAGGGGCCGGGCAGACGGGAGCCGGGGACACCGGCTGCGGGCACACCGGCAGCGGGCAGCCGGGCTGGGGCGCAGATCCCCAGAACCCTACTGCCAGCAGGCCATGGAGCACGGCCGCCGCCACGGCAGCGGAGAGCCCGCGGGGGCTGCTCGTGCGAAAGTTTGAGCAATAAAATGGTGGAGATACGCGGAGAATGTTGAACGTGTCGCCGTCCGCGCACGGAGTCGAGCGGTTCAGGAGTCAGCGGCGCGCCGAGGGGGGAAGTGAAAGGGACCAGGCCCTCTCCAAGGCGGCGGGGCCTCTCAGAAACCCTCGGGCCTTCTGAGAAGCCCTATGTGGCTTCGGAGAAGGCTTAGGAAACTTCTCAGGCGGCGGGAGGCATTCTGAGCCTCCTGCGCAGGCCCGCCTCCTCTGCCTCCCCCCCCTGGGCACGCCGCCAGAGGAGGGGGGCGAGGTGCGCCCATTCAATACGCAGCAGGATGAGCAGGAGGCTGAGCAGCAGGCACGGAAGGGCACAGCGAGCAGGAGGGCGTACAGTAAGAGCTCAACCACAAGAAACCTTCCACCAGAAACCCAACCCTGAGATCCCAGGGCGTCCAGCAACTTTGGTGTTGAAACGTCAGGTTTGCCACAGCAAAACCATCGAAACCCAGGGCACCTCGGAGGTAAGCAGGGCGCTTCTTGGCATGGGTTTCTACTATAGGAGGAGGAAGCGAGAAGGAGAAGACGATGACACTGAGGATGAGGGTGTGTAATGCGGCGAAGGGCGGACGGAGGCGAAAATATGAACAGAAGATGGATACGGAGACCGCGGATGTGAAGGGCTCTGCAGGGTGGGCTGAATCGTCCGAGTCTGCAGTGGTGGCAGCATCGAAGACAGCCCGCGCCGCCTCCGACTGCCGCCCAGGTCGCCGCGAAGAGGGCCCACGGCCGCACGCGGAACGGAGGTGCAGGAGCGCAGCGTAAGCACAAGTGGAAGTACAAGTAGGCGCTCAAGCCTACTGCTCATCATTCTGTCAACCGGAGCAGAGGATCAGCAAGAACAGCCTCACAGGCACAGGCTTTCTGGGCTCCGCGCGGACTTCTCGGGCGGCGATGGCCTCCAAGCCCTACGCTGGGCGGCCCCTCTAATGTGGGGCATCGTTCGGTGGGGGAGCTGGCTCACGGGGGGCACCATTGACCTGGAATCGGCGATACATCACCGATTGATGAGCGACATGCCCTCGATAGCGAACTCACACGCTCCTGAGCGCGGTGGGGCTGTCAGGCACGCATCGGCAATTAATGGGCGATGGGGGTCGAAGTCTCCTCCCCTGTGCCTATCCAGGCCCCCAACATCGCCCCTGATCCTGGGGCACTGCAAAGAGATCCAGCGCCGACCCAGGAGATCCGCGTGGACTTGTGAGAATCTGGCTCCGTGCAATTCTCGCTGATCCCTGACGGAAGCAGGCCCACAAAGCCCGACTGTCGCTGGTTGCTGCCGGGCCCCTCGGCCCGAGCTGGTTTGCAAGCCCGCGCCGCGCGGTCAGACCCTCAGCACGCAGTGCCAAGCAGCTGTTCCTCTGGGGGGATCACAAAGCATCGATAGAGGCCACGGCGAGCCTCGGCCACGAACGGCCTGCGCAGCCCAGGTGCAAGAAACCACCCGAAATCCATATCCCTCCTGAACCAAACATCGTCCCTACTTCAGCGCTTTGGCTGTACAATTATTTTTCGACATTCGACATCCCTGTCCCGTGTATATCTTATCCGGCATCCTATGCACTCCTCGCGTGCAAGGCGGGACTGCTGGTTTTCTCTAGCCCCCCCCCCGCAGGACCACACACACCACCCTTTTTCCTCTACTCTTCGACCCTCTACACCATCGTCAATACCCGACACACACTCTTTTGGGCGGCGGCGGCCTGGCGCGCAACGACGGGGCGGAACGAGTCACCCGAGCAACTGGAGAACGTGCGCGGTCGGCCCCGGGACACACACGCACGACCACCTGATCGCGCACGACCCACACGCACGCACGCAAACACATATACACACAATCACGCAAACACACGCAATCACACACGCACAAGCACACACACACACGCGCGCGCACGTTTGCACGCGCACGCAAACAAATATACACACAGCCACACACACAGTCGCAAACACACACACACACACACACACACACATACACACAAACGCGCATACACGCGCGCACGCTCACGCGCACGCTCACGCGCACACGCACGTGCACACGCATACGCACGCGACCACGCACAGGCACACGCATATGCACACCCACACCCACACGGCCTTAGACACACGCGCGCGCACGCACGCACGCACGCAGGCACAGACACAGACACAGACACAGACACAGACACAGACACAGACACAGACACAGACACACACACACACACACACGCACGCACGCACGTACACACGTACACATACATACATACATACATACATACATACATACATACATACATACATACATACATACATACATACATACATTGTTGTTGTTGTTGTTGTTGAATTTTCGTCTCTGAAGGCTGATAATTGTTGACCCCCCTCACAGGTGCATATGGTTGTGTTCCCAATTTAAATGTGAACTTCGACGCTCGCACCCTGTTTATTTTACAAGGAAGGTCTTGATGCTCAAGCTGCGCCTCTGTCCCCCGGGTTACAACAACAACGGCTCCAGCCTGAGACTTCCTGACAATTTAGCCAGGACCCCCGCTCCCGCCCGAGACTTCCTCGCATTTTATTCAGGAATCGCGCTCTCGCTAGGGACTTGCTTACTATTCTTGCATGAATCGTTCTCTCGGCGCTCTGGAGTCGCCCTCTCGCTGGAGACTCGCTTGCAATTTTTGTGAAGAATAACGCCCTTGCGTTGAAATTTCCGGCAATTTACTCAAGCGCCGCGCTCCCGACACCCAGGCGCCCAGGAGTCGCGCTCACGCTCAGGACCCCCTTACAAATTACCTAGGAATCGGGATATCGCTGCCCTTCGTCGCCCCGTTGTAGCCCTTCGTGGCCCCCTCGCTTTGTTTCGTGGCCTCGTTGCAGCCCTTCGTGGTCCCCTCGCTTTGTTTCGTGGCCCCGTTGCATTCCTTCGTGACCCCGTTGCAGCACTTCGTGGCCCCCTCGCTTTGTTTCGCGGCCTCGTTGCAACCATTCGTGGCCCCCTCGCTTTGTTTCGTGGCCCCGTTGCAGCCCCTCGTGGCCCCGTTGCAGCTGTTCGTGGCCCCCTCGCTGCCTTTCGTGGCCCCGTTGCAGCCCTTCGCGGCCCCCTCGCTGCCCTTCGTGGCCTCATATGTATACCCTTCGTGGCCCCCGCTCGTTCGCGCCCGTGGTGGCCCCATATGCATGCCCTTCGTGGCCCCGCTGTCGCCGTTCGTGGCCCCCTCGCTGCCCTTCGTGGCCCCGTTGCTGCCCTCAATGGCCCCGCCCTTGCCCTCCGCGGCCCAATCCGCCGGCCCCCTTGTGGGGCCACCGCGCTGTAGGCCGGGAGTTCGCAGTTTCCTGTGCCTGTTGCAGCGTCCAGTCTCCACTGCTACAACTCTGCCTCTCGCTGCTTACTGTTCCTTGTTGACTTTTTGCTGCTTGCTGTTCCTTGTTGATGGACCGCGCGAGGGGGGGAGGCCCCAAACGGGCATGTTTACTACAGAGAAATCGTATTATCTGAATTGTTGGGGTGGGTCAAACTTGACACCCCTCACGCAGATCGGCTGGGTCAGGGTCCAAAAAACACATGGGATTTGGCACATCTCAAAGATCCGGTGGCACCCCTCACGCAGATCGGCGGGGTCAGGGGCGAAAGCGAGAGCGAGAGAGAACGACAGCAGGGCCACGAAGGACGCGAAGTGGGCCACGAAGGGCGACAGCGGGGACACGAAGGGAATGCATATGGGGCCACGAAGAGCGCGAACGAGCGGGGGCCACGAAGTGCAGATAATGCGGGGCGACAGAAGGCAACGATGGGGCCACTGAGGGTAGCAACTGGGCCACGTAGGACAGTGAGGGGGCCACAAACGGCGACGGCGGGGCCACGAAGGGCATGCACATGGGGCCACAATGGGCGCGAACGAGCGGGGGCCACGAAGGGCATACGTATACCTGTAAGGGTTTCGCCCCCTGCCGCCGGCCCCCTCTCTCGGAGAATGGGCCATGGAAGAGCGAAGTTATGAGGCTTTGGCTTCGCCGTGAAGCAGTGTTGGGACCTGATTGTTTTTTCGACCCTGACCTTTGTGCTTTTGGACCCTGACCCTGCCGATCTGCGTGAGGGGTGCCGCCAAATGTCAGAAATGTGGCAAATTCCATGTGTTTGTGGACCCTGACCCCGCCGATTTGCGTGAAGGATTGCCACAGAATTTTATACATGTGGCAAATCTCCATGTGCTTTTGGACCCTGACCCAGCCGATCTGCGTGAGGGGTGCCACCGAATGTTTGAAATATGGCAAATCCCTTGAGTTGTTGCACCCTGACGCCGCCGATCTGCGTAAGGGGTGCCACCAGATTTCAGAAATGTGGTAACTCGCCATGTGTTTTTTGACCCTGACCCGCCGATCTGCGCGAGGGGTGCCACGGTTTTTTTTGTCTGTAAATATAAATAAATAAACAAATTGTGGCATATCCCTTGTGTTTTTTTGACCCTGACCCTACGGATCTGCGTGAGTGGTGTCGTCGCCGTCGCCGTCGTCGTCGTCGTGGTCGGTCCCCTGTCCGTCCATCTTGGGGTCGGGTCGACGGTCCGCGGCCGCCCCGCCGATCAGCGCTGCCGCTGGCCAGGCCGACGGTCCGCGGCCGCCCCGTCGCTTGCCGGGGCCCGGCCTGCATGGAAGAAAGGTATACCCCACAAAAAAGGTTCGATCGAAGACGAAGAGGGCGGGTATCGAAGGTTGGGGAAAACGCGTTTGAGCAGATAAGGGCGAACGGTCTCAAAATGATTGTTGTTGTTGTTGATGTTATTGTTGCTTGGTGTCGTCGTCCCACCCGCGACCCACCCAGCGACCCAACTTTCGACCCACCCGCGACCCACCCGCGACCCACGCCGCGACCCACCCCGCGACCCACCCGCGACCCACCCGCGACCCACCCGCGACCCACCCCACGACCCATCGGCGACCCACCCCGCGACCCACTTGCGACCCACCTGCGACTTACCTCGCGACCCACCCGCGACCCACCTGCGACCCACCCGCGACCCAACAGCGACCCACCCGCAACCCACCCGCGACCTACCCACATTAGTTTAGCGAAAAAATCGGCGCCTGCGGCGGGCTTGTTGAATCAGTTGTAAAGTTTTGGCGCCTGCGGCGGGCTTCTCCAGAGTCTCGCAAACCGCCGACGTCCACACCGCCCCCTCACTCTGATCCGCATATGCGGGGTGCAACGGAATACATATATAGATATATGTATATGTGTCTATATGTATGTCTATATTTGTATATGTATATATACATACATTCATATGTACAAACATTCGTACATGCACACATTCACACTTACACGATATATTATATATATATATAATATATATATATATATATATATATATATATATATATATATATATCCCCCCCCCCCCCCCCCAGCGACCCCCCACGCCCAAAACACGAAGCCGCGGTCTCGAGATGCTGGCACCGAACAGCCGCAGACACATGGTCTGTCACAACGGGCTGTGGCCCGAGAAGTATTCCTCCTCGTCTTACTCTCCCTCATCCTCCCCCTCCTCTTCCATCTCCCCCCTCGCCTCCTGCTTCTCCTGTTACTCGTCCTCCTCCCCCTCCTCCCTCGTCCTCCACCTTCTGTTCTTCCACCTGGTCCTCTCCCTGTTGGAGAACTCAACTTTGGCCTGCCATCCAGGCTGACGAACTCATCCGCTCGGCCCATCCGTCACGGGCACCGTGCGCGCAAGCATATCGGTTTCGGCCGAGGCCACGAAACACTGTGTATCACAGGTGTTTCTAGTTTTTCTGGTCTGGGAACCAACGAAACACTGCGTATCACCGATTTTTTCTGGTTTTTCTGGTTTCTGGAGCTGAAATGCTCGCCGCGGCCTCGCCCCACCGCTCCCCCACCTCCTGTTTGTCGGCACCTGAAAACCAGAAAAACCAGAAACACCTGTGATATACAATGTTTCGTTGGTTCCCAGACCAGAAAAACCTGAAAAACCTGTGATACACAGTGTTTCGTGGCCTCCGAGCAAGAAAACACTGTGTACTCTTCGGGGACTACAGCGCTCGCCGCTCACTGGCAGTGCTCCTTGAGGAAGGCCTCCTCCAGCATCTCCCCTGTTGCCAGCCACAAATCCTCGCCCCTGTGCCAGTACAACCACTGGTAGGAGCCAGAACCAGAACCAGAACCAAAGCCAGAACCAGAACCAGAACCAGAGCCAAAACCAGAGCCAGAACCAAAACCAGAACCAGAGCCAGAACCAGAACCAGAACCAGAGCCAGAGCCAGAACCAGAGCCAGAACCAGAACCAGAGCCTTGCTCGGAGGCCACGAAACACTGTGTATCACAGGTTTTTTTGGTTTTCTGGTCTGGGAACCAACGTAACATT